TTTTGTCACAACAGAATTTTACTTAGATGTGGCAAATAAACAAAACCACAAATGCTGAAATATACAATAAATTTACACACACCCAGCCCAAAGGCTGAGACCCTTGTGCTGCACAGCACGGCGCCTTCTGATGGATGAAGGTAGAAAGTGTAGTAATTTACCTACTGGCGGGCACAACTAAGCTGCCACACCTTACCTGTTATTACCCTAAAAGAGAGCAGGAATCAGTGTATGGGTGTATGGTATGGGCTAGCCTACGGTGCAGCACAACAGCTTACAATCTTACACAGATCTACAGTATTCCCTCTCCCATAACTGGTCCTGTAGCACGTGCCTGAGTATTCCTTCTGAGCAAAACACCAGTCTGGCTTGAGTTTGTGGGATTTTATCAGCTCTCCAAGGTGATATGTCACTTTAAGTTGTGGAGTCCTTCCAATGATCAGTAGCAACACTTGTTGTCTGACACAAACAGAGACCCTAACTAACTAACTATAGGCCTGTCTCAGTCTCTGGAGGTGCCAACACTGAAATGAGGTGCGTACACGATCTTACCGACCCGGGTCTGCCTTGCATCCGCTGGTGACTCAGAACAGATGTCTCTCCAACAAACATGCGATCTCATCAGCCTTCCTGGCAGCGATCTTCCTTTCTCTGAACAGAATCAGCGTCTTGAACACCATCACCTTCACTCAACTGAATTTCTGATTATGGAGGGCTGTCCTCACATCTGGATGGCATCGGATTCTCAGATCACACAGCCCCCCTTCTCTCTCTCAAGCATGGCTGCTCTCCTCTCCTTTTCCTGCTCACTCTCCAAGTGTAAAAACCCCACCCCTTCATGAATATAGAAATCTCTATCCAGTCTGAGGCTGTGTTAGAAAAAACAGTGACATCTTGTGGCTAAACTGCAGAATGTCAGTCAGAACGTTTTTAATTTACTTCAATCAGTGTTCAACGAAAGCTGTTTCCCCATCTCACACACTGTTAATACATCAGATTCAGAGTGTAAGTACAACAGGGACCAGGGGTTGGGGGGTTGATAAAGGGTGTAGGGTGTTAGTTCACCTTTTCAATTTTTCTGAAATGATGAACATACGCTTGACGGTACAGATACACAGAGCCCCGACCGAAATCACAAAATTGATGTTCTCATAATATTTAGTAAACATGTTCTCATTCAAGGGTTATTTTATGTTAGATCAAACCATTTTTGAATGACTCAAATTATTTAATATTTTCATATTTCCTCCGGTGATTCAGGATTCTTGACCTTTTCAGCTGTTTCATAAAAGCTACAATTTTGCTCCATTCCATTCCCTCTATCATTTTTCTAATTTTAAGGTTAGCAGAAGTAATAATATCTGGGTATTGCACAAGCCACCTGACATGTGTATTAAAATATATACTGTATAGTTATTGCATGTGTTACCATGCAAGCAGGAAAGATAGTCAGCTGGGAGGTAAACCGACTTGACAAAGAGCAGCAAATTCCTGGATATATTAAAATTCCATTCTCTATTATGGGTTTCAGAAATCCGTTATGATGGTGTCTGTCTGAAGTGTAATAAACAATGTATAATGTAATTTCGGACACACCACACTTTATCTATGACAACATCTAACAGAGGAATTCTTTGTCTACTAACCCATGCCAGAAACAGAGGAGGATCTGATTGGTGTCTACAGCTAGCAGTATATTGATTTTTTGCTTTTGACATCCATTGCTGTTGTTTTTGCCATTGGACTACTGAGCAAAAAGGTATCAGCACAATAAATTAGAATTAAAGGCACTTTTTTTCATTATAGACGGAGTAAAGAAGGGTTACAACCTCTGTCAGTTTTTTTTTAAACAATAGTGTCCCATTAGGGAGATTTCCTTCACTTCCTGCCCCATGGCTAAAACAGGTCCCTCCAAACTGAGGGAATCCATGGTTGTCACCAGAACTAGTGTCCCCATTGGAGGTTTCCCCTCTATTCCTGTAATTGATAAAAGTAATTGATTGCAGAGTAAACAGAAACCTATCACTTCACATGATTTCTAGCGTGATAAAATGGTAATGTTTAACTTCTAAAACAATTATATATTTACCAGACCAAACTGAAGCAAATAAGAGAGTTCATTGGTAAGGCTTACATACCCTTTAAATTTCAGAAAAAATAATTTAAAGGGGAACTATATTTTTTTCAGGTGAAAGCAGAACTATTTAGCTACTTCCCGTCCGGCCCCAGGGGCGTATTTATCACAAGGCAAACAAGGCGGTTACCTATGGTGGAATTTTTCAGGGGGGCTACACTACCCCCTGGAAAAAGGGACACTTGCAGCATGGGGACTAGGTGGGAGCCGAGAGATTCTGCGGACTGCTTGATGGTGAAAGCAGAGCCCAACTCTTGTTCCCAGGTATGGCCAGTGCTGTAAAGATGAGTGACTAACTCTCTGGGTGGGGGGGCAGGGGTGTTGTTGGTCAATGTCAGGTGGGGGGGGGGGGGGGGGTCCGATTTTTGTGTTGCCTAGGGCAGCACAAAACCTAAATACACCACTGTCCGGCCCATGTGTATAAACGGCCAGACGGGGGCAGTGCAGGAGCGGGTTGCCATTCATAAACGGCGCCCGCCATTTTAGACTGTGCGCTCCCTGGGAGTGCGCGGCACCGCGATCCGTGGCCCGCTGTGTCTGGAGGAACACCGATTGCTTAACGGGACCTCTGTGTGAGGTCCTGATCATGTGATCACTGATTGGTCAATCAGTGATCACAAGAATAGTAGTAAGCAAGATGTCACTTCTGACATCATTGCTTACTATTTGTGAAATCTGTGAATGATCACAGAGGTCACATGGTACAAGGCTATTCACGACAGCCTTGTACCATGTGACAAGCTGTGACCAATCACAGCTCACACAGTATTTCTCAATGGCTGCAAGAATGCAGCCAGAGAGAAGGAGAAATGATTGCTTTAACAGCCTTTATGAGTGTAAAAAAAAAAAAAAAAAAATGTCATCACCCCCCACAAGTAGTACAGTGTCACTGTGGTGACACTGTACTGCTAGGGTGACAGTATGTAAAAAAAAAAAACATAATAATAATATAAAAAAATAAAATAAAAATGTAAAAAAACTTTTTAATTATAATTTTTGGTTATAAACTAATTTGGGTAATTTTTTCTTACTAAAAAGGTTTAGGGTCATGTGACCGCCGTGACACGCCATCACGGCGGTCACATGATCGGGAAAGGTCACGATCGAAAGAGGAGATCAGGACCTTTCCGTGAGTACCGAACATGTGTGCTGGGAGAGCCCAGGGCGTGCGCTCTCAGCACATACGTTCTTTTTTAATAGAACGCAAATGTGCGGCCGCTCGGTGTCTAGGCCCAGATGCTGGGAGGCCGCACATTTGCATTCGATCGGCGTGAAGAGGTTAAAGCACCTGCTGCTTCAGCATGCAATTTTATATGTTTTTGATGTTTCTGTGATGCTCTATTGAAGCTTTAGCCCTGGTTCACACTGATGCAGTGCATAATTCACAGCGTTTTCTGTGCAAATTCCTCACCGCATCAGAATCGCACCCCGTTCATGCGAACCGCTGTGGGTGTGTATGTTAACAACACCCAGAAAGCGGTCCGCAAAATGCGGTGCGATGTGCAGAATCAGATCGCATAGGTTTGAATACCCATGTGATCCAGTTCTAGTGCGCACCAAAATGAGGGACCTGCACATTTTTGGTGCGGGGCGATTAGAGCCATACAAAATGTACGGCTCCAATCGCAGCACACACAAATCGCATGTGATTTGCACAGGAATGTGGTTTGGTTCCTGTGCGAATCACATGCGATATACCGCACCGCATATATGTGAACTCAGGCTTAATGAAGCTTGGGAAATGCCCTTTGTATGTTGATTTTCTATTTGTTTTAAAGGGGCTTAGTAGAACCCTGGCTCAGTAGTATCCCAAGCTCAATAAAATCCTTGCTCAGCAGATTTCCAGCTCATTGCTACCCCCTTCAGCAGATCCCCTGCTCAGTAGTACCCTTGTTCAGCAGATCTCCCACTCAGTAGTAACCCCCAGCTCTGCTGATCCCCCACTCAGTAGTAACCCCCAGCTCTGCTGATCCCCCACTCAGTAGTAACCCTAGCTCTGCTGATCCCCCACTCAGTAGTAACCCTAGCTCTGCTGATCCCCCACTCAGTAGTAACCCTAGCTCTGCTGATTTCCACTCAGTAGTAACCCTAGCTCTGCTGATCCCCCACTCAGTAGTAACCCTAGCTCTGCTGATCCCCCACTCAATAGTAGCCCCCAGCTCTGCTCATCCCCTGCTTAGCTGATCCTCCTCTCTCTCCATTTCCCGCTCACCCCCAGCTATATTGCTCCCATACTGCTCACCACATGTGACATCTTCTAGTTTCTCCTGCTCTGGTCCCCAAGCCCTGCTGATCCACCACCACTCAGGCCTCTCTCTTTGGTCCCTGCTCACCTTCTGCTATAGCATTCCCACGTTGTGCTCACCTTCCTGCTGCTCCATGCTGCACATCAGATGTGATGTCTACACCAGACACTACAAAAATATACACATGAACCAGAAGTGACTGCTGATGACGTCTTTCTGGTCTGCTTGTTGGTTTCCCAGTGCATTCTGTGATATCTTTTACCTCCAAAACAAAGCAAAGCTAACTCTGAGTAGATACGCTGCAAATGCTGCAGGTGCTGTCAGCAAGCATTGTCATAGACCTCTATGGAGGCGTTAAAGATGCTTTGAAGCACCAAGAAAGCGACATGTATAATTTTTAAAGAGCAAAGCAAGCACAAAAGTGTGAACAAGACTGCAAGGTAACAAGTTTTTTTAGTGACAGGGGCTTTTATTGGCAGAGTGCTTTAACTGCCTCCCGCCCGCCATATAAGGTAATGACGGGCACAAGGCGGTTCTCTCGTTCTGGGAGGATGTCATATGATGTCCTATCACTCTAACCGCACGTGCGTGGCTCCGGGAGCGCGCAGCACGGTGATCGGTGGTGCGCTGTGTCCATTGGACACAGCGGATCACCGATCAATGGAAAGAGACGAAGATGTCGGCTCGGTCATGTGATCATGTGTGTCCAATCACAGCTGATCACATGTAAAATAGGGAAATGCCAGTTATCGGCATTTCTCTCCTCACGAGCTGTCACGCTGACAGCTTGAGAGGATACGAGAGCTGGTAATCGCCATTCCTCAGGGGGACATCTACACTGATCATCAGGGCACTGATGATCAGTGTGTCCTGATGATCAGTGTAGCCCCAGCAATGCCACCTGTCAGTGTCCATCAAAGCCACCTGTTAGTGCTTATCAATGCCACCTGCCAGTGCCCATCAGTGCCACATCAATGCCACATATCAGTGCCTACCAGTGCACATCAATGCCACATATCAGTGCCCATCTGAGCTGCCTTTCAGTATCACCTATCAGTGCCATCTATCAGTGCCGCCTATCAGTGCCATATATGAGTGCTGCCTTTCAGTGCCCATCAGTGACGCCTGTCAATGCCCATCAGTGCAGCCTATCAGTGCCCATCACTGCAGCCTCATTAGTGCACATCAGTGAAGGAGAAAAATCACTTATTTACAAAATTTTAGAACAAAAACTAAGAAAAAAACTTTTTTTTTCAAAATGTTCAGTTGTTTTTCGTTTGTTTAGGAAAAAATAAAAGAGATGATTAAATACCACCAAAAGAAAGCTCTATCTGTCTCTCAAAAAAATGATAAAAATTTCATATGGGTACAGTGTTGCATGACCGCGCAATTGTCATTCAAAGTACGACAGCACTGAAAGCTGAAAACTGGCCTGGGCAGGAAGGGGGTATAAGTGCCCTGTAGCCAAGTGGTTAAAACGCATGTCCAATGCCACATTATAAAGCAAGCGTAAACGAGGACTAATACTATAAGGCACAGGTGTCAAACACAAGGCCCACAGGCTGAATCCGGCCATTTCATGTGGCCCTTGCACCCCTCCTGCAGGTACCCCCTTGTCTCTGCCCCTACCTTGTCTCTGCAGTCGGCAGCAGAGAGAATAGAACTCCTCTGCCAAATCCTGTACCTCTCAGAGAAGCTGCAGTGCCCCTTCATCTCTGCCTCCCCTGGTCTCAGCAATCAGCAGACTCTGGTAACTGATTCCACTTCTCCTCTGGTCCTCCTCCAGACCCTGCACTTTCTGCTTTCCAGCTCTGCCCCCAAAGGGGGTGCACAGTGATGTTAGGGAGGGTGTGGGATTCTTGACATCTGATATAATGGAGGGTGGGGTGCTCTGGAAATCAAGTCTTACAGATACAATCGGTCCTTTGAAGGCAACCATAATGCTGATACAGCCCACGATGAAATGGAGTTTGACACCCCTGCTATAAGGGGTAGAGCACACCACTGCAGAGGACAATGTGGCTAGCTTGTGTTCTGTCACTGTGTTCTACCTTTTTAAATAATGTTTTTTTTTTTTTCTTTTTATATGTATATATTTGCAAAAGTTTGCAGGTTCCAGTGGTCAATTTGCAAAAAATTGGGACTATTCTGCAGAAAAAAGACCAATAATGACCACAGAACACTCAGAACACACAAATATATCTCCTCTTTAAGCCTTGCTGGATTTTCGCACTCATTCTAATCAGGCTCAAGTAATGCTGTACATTTTCCTTCCTGCATTTTACATAAAAACATCTTGAGTAAATCAAGGTCACCTTGCACCTAGTCATACCAAAGTCAAAAAAAATAACAGCACTCCATAATTGAGAAACATCCTACCTTTTATTTATCTAATTAGTCACATTATATTCATTAGCAGACATGGTAACCATATTAAATATTCATATCTCATGTCAGATTTACTTAACAGCTTTTCCGCCAGATAGAAAAGTTCCTTAAAGCAATAATACTATTTGCTATTTGTACAAAATTCTTAGTTCGGGGCAGTTAGTCCTCAGATGAAGTTAGTGTCCTCTAAACCAGAGGTTCTCAACCTTTTTGGGACCAGTTCCTGTAATGGTAATGTGTTCTGAGCCCTCACAAAGCTGTGGGAAAGGGCAAGGACACCATGTTGCTCAGACTTCAGCCATGACAATTTGTAACACAAGTTGGTAAATAGCAGCAGTGGTTCTCTTCTCTTCATCCCTGGAACCGATCCCCTGTATGGCTTTCTCTGCAGCAGCTGAAAGCCAGCGGGAGGGAGAAGTGAAGAGGCCAGCTTTCAGCAGCTGCAGAAAGAGCCATACAAGGATTTGGTTCTAGTAATTGCCTCTCCCGCCAAACTGATCACCATCCCTGCCCACATCAAATTCACCCAGTGGCCTGGGCCCCCCTGCTGGCATGGGCCCCATACAGGAGGACTGGTGGTACCCCCTTATCCACAGCCCTGGGAACACCTACCCAGACTTGAGAGAGCCACTGCACCATTTTGCTTGATCAATTGGACTCTGCTAAAACAAAAGATGGGCGGCACAGTGGCTTAGTGGTTAACACATCTGCCGTGCAGTAAATGGCTGATGGGTTCAATTCCCAACCATGGCGCCTCCTGCATGAAGTTTGCATGTTCTCCCTGTGCTTGTGTGGGTTTCCTCCGGGTTCTCCGGTTTCCTCCTACACTTCAAAGACATGCTGGTAGGTTAATTGGCTCCTGTCTAAATTGTCCTACTTTCTTCCCTGGCCATGCAGGATCTCCTGCATGGTAGGGGTTGGAGAAAGACCTGGCAACCTACCCTGTAAAATAATTGCTAAGAGAATTCATGGAAAAAGTTGCTTACAAGTCACCAAGGGTCAGATACGACTGAATGGATTTTTTTTATTTATTCTGGTAGCCATTTAGTCATATTTCAGCATTTTGGACTAAATTAAGCAGTTAAATGGTTTTATTTCAGCATCTTAGTCTCTCAGATTTTTTGTACTGATTTTTAGAAGTCAGTTTTATTTTGGCATTTTAGTATTTTGGTATCTTAGGCCCAATTCACATTTGAGCGTTTTGTAGCTAGTAGCTCAAAGCTAAAAAACGCTCAGTAAGAACAAACCCATTGTTTTCAATAGCCCTTGTTCACATCTGAGAGTCTTGTCACTTGCAGCAAAACTCCTGTTGCTCAAAAAAGTACATGAGCTACTTTTCAGGCAGAATTGAGCGTTTTTTTGTCCCCATAGGTTTTAATGGAAACACCTGAAAAGCTAGAGACGTAAGATTTTTTTTCAAGCATTTTGTCATGCATTTTCTGTTCAAATAGCTGTTTTTTGGCCCCTTTTCCCAGCAGCACTCCACATCTTTTAGTTGAAAAACAAATTAAATGTCTGGTAAAAATGTGCAATTCTGCTCCAAATAACACTCAAAAACACTTGAAAAAACACTTGAAAATGTATCATTTATGTGTAAATGTAGCCCCAATGTGTTTTAGCACTTACTTCTTTTAGCACTTGTTCTAGTAGCCAGTTATTAATTTTTGATGCAGCTTATACTGTATGTTTACACAACCGCTATATATATATACATACAGTGACTTGAAAAGGTATTCATACCTCTTGGCATTTTCCACATTTTGTCATGTTACAACCAAACACGTAAATGTATTTTTATTGGGATTTTTATGTGATATAGCAACACAAAGTGGCACATAATTGTGAAGTGGAAGGAAAATGATAAATGGTTTTCAAAATGTTTTACAAATAAATATCTGAAAGTGTGGCGTGCATTTGATACCCCTAACTAAAATCTAGTGGAACCAATTGCCTTCACCTAATTAGTAAATAGAGTCCACCTGTGTGTAAATACAGTTGTTTTGTGAAGCCCTCAGAGGTTTGTTAGAGAACATTAGAGACCAAACAGCATCATGGAACACACCACATAGGTCAGGGATAAAGTTGTGGAGAAGTTTAAAGCAGGGTTAGGTTATTAACAAATCTCCCAAGCTTTGAACAGCTCTTGGAGCACTGTTCAATCTATCTTACGAAAATGAACAGAGTATGGCACAACTGCAAACCTATCAAGATATGGCTGTCCACTTAAACTGACAGGCCGGGCAAGCAGAACATTAATTAGAGAAGCAGCCAAGAGGCCCATGGTAACTCTGGAGAAGCTGAAGAGATCCACAGCCCAGGAGAACTATTAGTCGTGCACTGCACAAATCTGGCCTTTATGGAAGAGTGTCAAGAAGAAATCCATTGTTGAAAGAAAGCCATAAGAAGTCCAGCTTGCAATTTGAGAAGCCATGTGGGGGACACAGCAAACACAGCATTCATGGAAGAAGGTGCTCTGGTCATATGAGACCAAACATTTTTGGCCTAAAAGCAAAATTCTATGTGTGGTGGAAAACTAACACTGCACATCACCCTGAACACACCATCCCCACCGTGAAACATGGTGGTCCATCATCTTGTTGTGGGGATGCTTTTCTTCAGCAGGGACAAGGAAGCTGGTCAGAGTTGATGGGAAGATAGATGGAGCCAAATACAGGGCAATCTTAGAAGAAAACCTGTTAGAGTCTGCAAAAGACTGGGGTGGAGGTTCACCTTCCAGCAGGACAACGACCAGAAATATACAACCAGAGATACAATGGAATGGTTTAGATCAAAGCATATTCATGTGTTAGAATGGCCGAGTCACAGTCCAATCCAACTGAGAATCTGTGGCACGATTTAAAAATTGCTGTTCACAGATTATCACGTACCTGATTTGGAGACTGAAATGTTGAGGTCAGCCTCACTTGTGTCACTAGCCCTGACCCACACTGGAAGTGGAACAGAGGTTGTCTAGGGACCAGGGGGACAAGAGCGCCAGCAGATGTTTGCAGCTCTTGCATTTGGAGACTTTGGAAGACTGATGAACCTCCGATTCAGGAACAGTAGTGATATGCAGAGCTGGTATGGTAGGTCGCCAGGTGTCCACCAGAGCAAGGCAGGAAGCAGGGATGGGAGACAGGAACAGTGTCAAAGGAATAGCCTGGGTAATCAACGGGCGGACAGCGAGGTACCAAATCATAAGCAAGCCAAAGTCAGGATCAGAGCCGAAGTCAGGAACCAGTATCAAGCAGGAGAGTAATCAGAGTCAGGTCAGGAACAAGCCGGGTCAGCAACAAGGAAATCACACAGGAACGAGCAGGAAACGGGGACCAGCTGAAGACCAGTCAGCACTTAACATGGACAGAGACACTCTTTAAATAGTCCATCTGGCGCCAATCTTCGCCGTGCGTGTGCACGTGCAATCGCGCATTTCCGTGCGCATGCGTACAACCGATCACTCTTCTCTGGATGTTTCTATGCGCTTTTCTATTCGCAATTCGTTTTTACCGGAAATCCCTTACACAGACTCTCTCCATCCAATCTAGCAGAGCTTAAGCTAGTCTGCAAAGAAGAATGGGCAGAAATGTCCCTCTCTAGATGTGCAAAGCTGGTAGAGACATCCCCAAAAAGACTTGCAGCTGAAATTTCAGCGAAAGGGGGTTCTACAAAGTATTGACTCCGTGGGGCTGAATACAAATGTACGCCACACTTTTCAGATATTTATTTGTAAAAAATTTTGAAAACTACAGTATTTATCATTTTCCTTCCACTTCACAA